GGGTTTTGTAGCCGCCCGCCGCCTTCCTCGCCTTCTTCGCGGGGGCCTTGGCGGCGGGGGCAGAGGCATCAGGCGCGGCTGAGGGTGCTGTTTCCGACATCGCTGGTGACAGACGCTTTCCACTAGACAGAAGAAAACAATTGGGCTGGAGTAGGTCAGATGCCTGGTATTTTTAGAGGAGAGATGCTCTCTGATTGGTGCGTTAAAGAGCCCGCCCAGCTGCAAAGCAAAGCAGCTCTTCTGCCTGCTCAGTTTGTGTTTCTTTGGAGTTAAAAAAGTGCATTTTCGCCTCAATATCCGTCCCCAAATCACCCCATTTCTTTTCCGTGAGAAGGGAACAGAGAGTGCTTTCGTTCGGTGAAATATCCAGGGGGAGAGGCTAATGACGGATTTAGGAGGAACCCAGAAACTCTGCATTCAGGTGCTGAAGGAAGCTCTGAAGTGAGAAAGTTTTGTTTTTCCTTGCAAAATAAAAATATACCTTTCAAGACAACGCCGGGTCGACACGTGCATTTTATTCCTGAGAGGGTTTTCTTCAAGTCAGAATGAAAAGCAAGTGATTTGAATGGATTTTTTTCTGTGTAAAGTGTTTTTGAAGAGAAGGAAGTAACACAATTTGCTCTCTAAGCTTTGGATATGGATGGAGAATTGGCTGCCTTAACTGTGTTATTTACATCCTAAAAACATTGAATTTTGTTGAAATAGTGCCTTATACAGCATGGCATGGGAATGAGTAAACATCTATAGAGTAGTATTTATAACCTTTACTTCTATATGAAAGTCTAGAACATACTTTGCCTCTCCAGATGTTACAATAGAACATACTAATGACAAATGAGCTGGTTGTTTTAGAGTTTTCCTCCTTTTAAAGTAACTTTCTTGCTATTTGAATTATTTTACTAAATAGCATCCACTGTCCTTCAAATGTAGCAAACAAATTATTTTGCTGTTGTAGTATTTTAATCTGAGACCAAAAACACAATAGAAGTACGTATGGTATAGTTTGTTCAATCTATTCCAATAAGAATATTCTAAAAGTGATTCTAAATGATATGGGATGAAACGCATTTAAAGGATGTGTTAGAATGTCTGTCTGTTTAAAGTCACTAGCTATTTTTGATTCATAGACTTCATAGACTTCATAGACATTAGGGCTGGAAGGGACCTCGGAAGATCATCGAGTCCAGCCCCCTGCCCAAAGGGCAGGAAGTCAGCTGGAGTCATAGGATCCCAGCAAGATGAGCATCCAGTTTCATCTTGAAGGTGTTCAATGAAGGCGCTTGAACCACCTCCTGTGGCAGGCTGTTCCAGACCTTGGGGGCTCGGACAGTAAAGAAATTCTTCCTTATGTCCAGCCTGAAACGATCTTGAAGTAGTTTGTGACCATTTGACCTCGTCATCCCTTGGGGCGCTCTGGTGAACAAACGTTCCCCCAGATACTGGTGGTCACCCCTGATAAACTTGTAGGTGGCCATCAAATCACCCCTGAGCCTGCGCTTTTTCAGGCTAAAGAGCCCCAGGGCTCTCAGCCTGTCATCGTAGGGTCTGCTTCCCTGACCTCTGATCATGCGCGTGGCTCTTCTCTGGACTCTCTCAAGCTTCTCCACATCCTTTTTGAATTGTGGAGCCCAAAACTGGACACAGTACTCCAGCTGTGGCCTCACTAAGGCCGAGTACAGGGGGAGAATGACGTGCCGGGATTTGCTTGAGAAGCATCTATGGATGCAACCCAGCGTTTTGGTCGCTTT